AAGTCTGAGCTGAACCGGAGCCCAGGGGGAAACCGGCTTGACAAGAATTCAGCACAACACTCACATTCAAGCACAGACGCCTGCTGGCGACTACATGGGGAACTTTTTTTTGGCTGGAGTATCTGATTAACGCACACATTTGCAAATAAAGTGCGCTGCTGTGTTGAGCACAGACTGTGCACACACACACCTGTAAATACATTATTACATCTGTGTCTACATCTCAGCCACGCACGCACGCGCGCACGCACAGGCACGCGCGACAGTGGGCCTACTGTCAAAACTGTCATGTTGTCCCTTGTCGTGTCTTTTTAGTCAAAGCGTGCCGCATCAGGACGGCCAATCGCACTCGTGTCGCTTCAAGGTCTTTTGCGACACGCAAACATAAATGGCACACTATTATGCGTTTGCTCTGAAGGAAACTTTCAGACATTTCATTCTCACCTCGTCCCACTTGACGAATTTGCCGCCCTTCTTCAGCGCTTCGTGGACGTCCACGGGTTTCAGCTGCAGCGCGTGGACTCCCGGCTTGGCCCCGGCCATGACAAGGGACTCCCAGCCCGGGTGCCAACGCCTAAACCCCGGCTACGGCGACTTGGAACTCCTCGGAAGGAACAGAAGGCTCTTCCTTCCTGCACTTCCAGCCCCAGAGCTTCTTTTACTGTTCTTCTTCTTCTTCTTTTTCCGGGGAGAGGGTTAATTGAAACACCGAGCGAGGAAGGGAGGGAGGTTCTTAAAAGTCAGGCACTGTCCTTAAAAGTTAGCGAGCCTCCCCGAGAGTTTGAAGAACATGAGTAAAATCCAGACTAAAGACAGGACTCGGGTTGTTTCAGTGCGCACCGCCGCCGCTGTGTCTTGTCCGCGTCCACGCAAAGCGGTGACGCGCCTATAATTCCACTTTTTTTAAATTATAAGCTTTGATTCATATATTTGTTTATTTGTGCAGAATCCTTTAATCACGCACTTGAGCCCTTGGAGAGATCCTTTCCTTCCTTCCTTCCTTCCTTCCTTCCATCTGGTCGACCCCTCTCTCCTCTCCCTCTCGTTCCACTACCAACTTTCTCTGCTTCCTCTCTCTCTCCCTTGTCGCCTCCGACGCGTTTTTTTTTTCTTCTTCTCTCCTCCTCCTCTCCTCCCTGCATGTTTTCTGTAGGGGAAAAAAGAGAGGATTTTTGAGAGGAGAGAGGGACGGCGTCAGATAGCGCTGAGTGAATGAGAATGGGGTGGGGGTGTAGTAAAATGGGTGTGTTTTAATTCAGTTCCTCTGCCTGCTTCTCTGTCTTCTCTGTACATGCTGTACAGAGAAGACAGAGAAGCATGAGAAGCATGCATGCAACAAAAGCTCAGAGAACACGGTCCAGCATATCACATATATGCACAATTGTTCCTGTTCCATGATTCGGCATCTCCAAATCTCCCCAACTCCATTCAGACAGCTCCAATCAATCCTAACTCGGCTTCCATTACACTGGGAGACCTGGAAGTGTCATATTTAAAAGATAATGACCCTTTTTTAGACAGTTTGGTCCCTTATTTGAAGTAAATCTACAAACTTCCCATCGTGCAAATTCAAACTGTCTTCCATTAAAGTTGTGCTTTCCCCTACATTTACCTCTAAGTTCATATAAAACATGGCCAAGGTCACGGTAAGGTCATCTCAGGCTCTTCTTGCTTTGAGCAAAGAAGCTCCGCCCAGCTAATGTTCCAAGTTTCTTTTTGCTAGGCTAGGGTAAACCAATCAGAACCCCCAAACCAACCACAGGCAGATGGCCGCCCCTCCCTGAGTCTGGTTTTGCCAGAGGTTTCTCCTTGTTAAAAGGAAGTTTTTCCTTCCCACTGTTGCCAAGTACTTGTTCATAGGGGGTCATTTGGGAGTTTCTCTGTAAGGAACGTCTGTTTAGCCCTTTGGCTGGCACCCTATGTCTTTTAAATATGCTATACAATTAAAGTTGACTTGATTTGACACTGTGTTGTTAGTGTTTAATGCCGAGCGGAAGACCACACCTATGGCCAATTTAGAATCACCAATTAAAATAGCATGCATGCCTTCAGAGTGTGAGACCGGAGTGATTCGGAAACTTCCCACACAGAAACACGCTAGCCAACCAGCAGCCCAGAATCTTCACCATACGTCACGCCATTCTGCTAATCTTTAAAAATCCTCCAAATAAAACAACATAAAGGGAAAAGAAATCCCTCTTGTTTTCTCCGTGCGTACAGAGAGGACCCAAACACTCTCTTTTGAGCAAAGACAGAAGAGTGACACAAACTATTGCTCTGAGGCACGGGGCAAGGAAAGCTGGGTACTGACGTAAGAGGAATAAAATATTGTGTAAGGCCGTTTTTCATTAAATATCACAGGCGCACGTAGGTCCCCCATGAAAATATTAGAGACATTTCCTGTAGTTCACTGCAGGGTGCAAAAGCAATCACCAAGTTCTTTTCATTCTGAATTACTCTCGCCTTCGAGTGCTTTAAGTCTGCTTCTTTGTTGACACTGATAGATTGCCTGCACAGTCAGCAGTGTTATTAAAAGACAGTATCACTGTTATTGGAAATGCATAGTAATCAGCTTAAGAGGTGATTTTGGAGCAATGAGTGGTCCTGTAACTCAGGAAGTTGGAATGCGCCATTAAGGACGGGCTCAAGATAACAAATCTGCGTTCCAGAAACAGGAAATAAATCCGAGGACTGGCAGGTGAGGTAACTGAAGATCTTTTCCCCCCTCCCCTCCTCCAGATCAGTGGCAGCGTATCATGTTTAAAGAAGCATGAGAGCAACGGAGGTGGCACAGTTAGAGCACGGGCCTGTCCAAATCCTGCTGCCAAGCAACGTTTGGCTCCTCATAAAAAAGTGCTCCAGAGCAACTGATGTTTTTTAAAATTGTTTCTTTTTTTTGGCAACTATTGACATTTTCAACTCCTCTAACTACGCTGGGCAAGAATGTGAGATATGCTGCAGCTTGCTGACTGACAGCAATTGAGTCTTGTGTGTGCGTTTCCTTGAAATCAAAAATCATGACCCTGAATGAGGCACACTTTCTGTACAGCATCTTGCATGACACCACACAAACACAGGGAGGATTGATGCATGTGCATTCTTTCTGCAGCGCAGCACGCATGCATGAGCACGGGGCCGTGTCTCTGTGCTGTATGGCAAGAATGTATGCACATCTTCTGTGGGTTCACGCAAACAATGTTGGGTTGAGTCCTGCATTTGAAGCGTGGGCACCTGTGCTGTCAATAGGCCTCTCTCCACCTCCCACTCTCTATTTCACCCAGTTCTCTTCCTCTGGCTGCCCTATCTTCTCCCTGCTAAACAAACTCCCTCTCTCCTCCTCACTATCTCATCTCTCATTCCAACAGGTGTCACGCTCCCATTGGCTGCTGAGGCTTATCTGCAAAGAAAAAAAAAATTAGGTAATGGAATTAGGTAACAAAACATGATAAAAGAGTGAATGCAGACGCTTACTTACATGCTTACATTGCATGTTTTCAAACTGTACCTGGAGTAAGATCAAGATCCTGGAGGGTGCTTCAGCCCTCAGGTCTCTGAAACAAAATCTCTCATGACCTAAAAACCACAAATAATGTGTGTATTGTGTATGAAGTGTGTGTGCGTGTGTCTAAGGTGAGACTAAACCTTAAACCTTTTCCTGTTAAAAGGGTGTTTTTCCTTCCCACTGTCACCATCTCCTTGCACATAGGGGTCATTGTTGATCTTTATCTTGAGGCAACTGCCGTTGTGATTTGGCGTTATATAAATAAAACTGAAATTAAATTAAATTGCCCATCAACTACTTTAGTGGAAGAATAAAGGAAATTATGCAAAGGAGGACAGGCAAAGCACAAGGAAGTATCATTTGCTAAGATATGGAAGCCCGTTTCCGCCACTAAAAAAAAAAAAAAGCTAGTATCCATAACTCGAAATTTCGAGTTATTTTCTCGAAATTTCGAGTTATATTTCTCGAAATTTCGAGAAATATAACTCGAAATTTCGAGTTACATTTCTCAAAATTTCGAGTTAGCTCTGCCAATCAAAAATATACGTGAATGAGGTCGCTTTCTTGTTACCCGGAAGCATATGGCGCAGGACCACGCACTCAAAAACGGATCCCAACAAATTAAAGTATGTTTGCTGATAGTAACACCATGTGATTCAGCTAATAACACAGGGATTTCGTCATTTGTGAAGCCAGGCTGAAAACACTCAGCAATCTGTGCATTCACGACTGGATGTAATACCGGTAGCTTAGCTGTAGCATTTGTAGCTGAGGGCTTCAGCTTCCGGGTAACATGGAAATGACGTCATTCACGTAGATTACTGATTGGCAGCGCTAACTCGAAATTTCGAGTTGCTTTTCTCAAAATTTTGAGTTAATATGTCGAAATTTCGAGGTAATAACTCGAAATTTCGAGAAAATAGTTATGGGTTGAGTTATGGATCCTTTTTTTTTTTTAGTGGCGGAAACGGGCTTCCATACTAAGAAGCGTGAAAAGGAAGGCGCAGAAATAGTGCGCATTGACTGAAAACGTAACTGCAGTGAGTCCGAGATCTAATCACGCTCAGGCATTTAGTTTTCATGCAACAAGGAAGTCGAAATCTTTATTCTTCCTTACTGTTTGGTTTACCCACAGTTAAACAAAAGAAAGCAAAGTTGGATATTTAGAGAGAAGGAGAATAAAGAAAGTGAAAGATGATCAAAATAGCTTCCTGATAAAGAGGGTTAAGAAAAGAGACCAAAAAAAGGCAACAGGAACAAAATAAGGGACGCATAGAAGAGATGTGGAGAACGGGAAGACCCCACCACCACCACCCAGATCTTTTTCCCTCTCAGTCTAGTAACAGCCAGATCTTTCTCTCCAACGCAAAGCAAAGAACTCACAAAGACACATTGTGCAAAGACACACAGGCATATTCACTGTCTCTCCGCACAGAAGCAAATACAGTGCACAGACTAGCTTTAATGGGAAAGGCCTGACTCAGTCAACGGTAGCAGAGAAAACTTGATCAGATTACTGTTAACAGTGTAGCAGAGATTTTGGCCTGAAGATGCTGACGGTTCACTGGAGGCCGGACCCATCTGTCTCCACCACACCGCGGGGTTATTGTCAATGTGTTCTCGAGAAAAGATATCATGTGGGCGTGTAGGCGATGTGCTGATTACAGTCCCGCCCCCCAACACCCCAAGAGGCATTCAGACACAATGCAGATTCACATTACAAGAACTTTGATTTACCTGTGGTGCAGCTCCATTCATTTGAGTCTACTCTTTCCAAATGAGATGAGAGCTCCCCAATGCCCCCAAGAGCTCCCTATGGGGGAATCCACTCATTTATTATAGATTACTGATCGCGAAGCCCATTTACAACTGCGATCTGATCTTATGATGCCATCTAGTGGCTGCACAGCAACACTACTGTCTCTTTTTGTTCATTGCAAGATTGATTGTGCAATAATTAGGAATGTGGACGTACTAGTTCCAGCTATGCCTCACTTGTTAAGAGGATACAGGGCTGATACCTACCTGTGCACACCTCAATCACAGTAGCCTGTGTTAAGCACAGGTGTATTTGCACAGGTGAGTCAACACTGTGTACACAGCATAAAGTAGAGGTTGCAAGGTTCTGCTTTGATTTATTACTTTGGTGGAGAGAGAAAAGGGAAAAGAGAGCAAGACTGCTCCACAAAATTGCGGCAGTTATTGAAATAAATAGAAAAGCACCTTTTTTGTCGAATATTTATTTATTCAGGCAGTTAGTAAACCCAAAGGAGCTGGTCTGGGACATGTGCATTAAAACAAATAAGTCTTCTTAACCAAAGAGTTTCTCCCTGTGTCTGTCTCTGTGTTGCATCACAAAGCTGACCA